TTGTAATAGCTAAAACTTGGAAACAGCTCATCTGCCCATCAATTGGAAACTGGATAAAGAAGATGTGGTTTTTCTATAAAATGGAATACTACTCAGCCATAAAGAATGAGAAAGTAGATTCACTCATAGGTAAATGGGTACATTTTGAGGATATACTCCTAAGTGAAATAAATAAGTCACACATATGCAAATACCGAATAGTTTCTCTGGTGTGAAAAACTAAAATAGTACTCAAGATCCTAACAGGGCAATTAGCAACGTGAAATAGGAAGAAAAGGACCAAAGGTGTAGGGACAGTGAGAAGGATAGGGAAATGGGAACAGGGGAAAAGGAAAAAAATATGAGAAAATGTAAAAATGGAATTGAAGTGTTTGAAGGTGGGGAGGGGAGGAGGGTGGTGAAGGGAGGGTGGGGACAAGGGGAAAAAATGAGAACCAAGACCTGGTATGTAAAAGTACAAGATCCCAGTAACTGTACTGTCTACCTAGAATGTACCAATAAATTAAATTAAATTGAAAAAACATAGTAAAAAGGGCTGAGGATGCAGTTCAGTCGTGGAATGCTTGCCCAACATGCATGAGGCTCTGTATTTAGTTCCAAGTATTGCAAAAGAAGGAGGAGGCTCATCCTGTTGTGGTGATATGTATTGGAAGTAGCTTTGTATTTCATTGTTTGATAATGAAATCATGATGTAAATAAGAGAGAGCAAAGCAAATCTGAAAATCTAAAAATCACTTCCACTTCTAGCAATGACACACTTGATAATTTGGACCACCACTCCCACTGAGGTGTCTGCTAATAGGAAAGTTGTATCAAAAATAAAACATACATGCTTGAAGGCATCAAGAAGTTATCTAGGTAATAAGAAACAACTGGGCCAGGATCCTAGATAAAACAGACCCAGAAAAGTTAGCCATTGTATGGCTGGATAGTTACTTCTGGAGGGAGAAGAGCCCCACTGTGGCCTTCTCAGGTCAGAAGAGAGAGGTTGTAATCCAGGGCTTACCAAGGTGAGGCAATTCCCTGGCAAACTTTTCTCACTTTTGTCTTACTTCATTTATCTACAGTGCTGGGGATTGAACCCAGGGCCTTGCACATGCTGGGCCGTTGCTCTGTGAATGAGCTACATTCCCAGCCTTTCCCTCACTTGAAAATTTGCACTCTTGTAAATAGGCCTCTCAGCAACTCCACTTGGATTAAGCCAATTCTAGATTGTTGCTGCCCTCAGTCTCCCAGATGAAGCAAACATAAATTTTCTCTGGAAGAAAATAACGTTGTGGACGGACTCCTCTTATTTCTGCAATTTTCAAATACAGTGTCTGGTGTGTAGTAAAAGATGACCACGCAACAGAGACAAAATAAGAACAAACCCGTAGCAGTTTTAAATATTAAAGCTATCTCACTGACATTAAAATAACTGCCTAATGTGTTGATATGACTAGAAGATACATCTTAGAATTCGGCAGAGAACTAGAAACTTTAAAAACCCAAATGTGCATCCTAGAATAAAAAATACATTTTCTGAAATTAGAAATTCATTGGGTGGGCTCAGTATCAAATTAGACACAACAGAAGAAAAACTTTGAGACTTGGAATATAGGACAGAAAAAATTATCTGGAGTGATAATGTAGAGACAAAAGGTGAAAACTAAAGAAGAGGATAAAGGAAGGTTTACTAGTATATATGTTAATTAGAGTTTTAGGAGGAGAGGAGAATAAGAAAATGGGTCAGAAGCAACATTCTTTTGCACAGTGGCATGGGTTATCAGTTCTAAAATGACTACATTTTAAGATGGGTCAAATAAGGGAGTACAGTTTGAATAATGAGAGCAAGGTTTCTAAGGATGAGCTAGAGCTAGGATGCATCCTCTGTTGATTGGAATTGCTGGTACCCTTGTGAATATCTAGTTTTTGATAGGTATAGAAATATAAATGGAAGGCTGTGCGTGCGTGTGTGTGTGTGTGTGTGTGTGTGTGTGTGTGTTTCCTAGTCTCACGGAGGGGCCTAGAACCAGGGGTACCAGCAGTTAGTAGACCTGATACTCAGATCTTGGTTTCTCAGTACTGTTTTTCATGAAGAGCTCCTTAGAGAAATGACTGGTTCCAGGGCCAAGGCTGGGACTGTGCGTGGAAGATGTCATGTTGTGCCAGAAAAGAAGCGCTCAAAGAATGAGGGGACAAGTCAACAGGATACAGCAGCCAGCTTGAAGGGGCTGCTGTGGACCAGTGCCAGGATGTTTTTAAACATTAAAACAAACAGTGATAGTAAGGGGCTACATAAATAAGACTCTGTGAGGCCAAACTGATATAAATGAGTGAGCGCATTAGTGAATTTTTGAGCAACTACATGAAAGAAGAAAAAGCTCTTTATCACAGTGGAATGCCAACTGTAGTAAATGAAGAGGGAATGATGGAATTAGAAAATCAATTTGGGGAACCTGTAGTAATTGATTTCAGGCAAGTTTGATGAGAAACAGAATATTTACATCGTCTCAAAATATCCTCCTACAATTTACTTTTTAATTGGAAAGGGAAAATAGTAACTTTACAAGGGGGCAGACATCACCATAACCAAGTGTTCAAAATAACCAGTCATCTGCCAGGCATGGTGGTGCATGCCTGTAATCCCAGCACTTGGGAGGCTGAGGCAGGAGGATCGCTCTGAGTTCAAGGCCAGTCTGAACTACATATGGAGATCCTGTCTCAGAAAAAAAACAAAAAACCCCCCCAAAAACCAGTCACTAGTAATGGGACTAATAGGTACCATGAGGCACTGAGGGGACACAATATTCCTCCTATGGCATCCTTTCAAAACTAAGCTGAGACAGACACAAATTCAAGGACATTCTACACACGCGCACACACACACACACACACACACAAATGGACTTTATGTTTCAAAAATGTTCAGGTTATGAAAGACAGATGGAGGAACTCTTTCAGATTAAAGAAACTTGACAATTTAATGCAGCCTGTGATCCTGGATTGAATCATGAGCTACAAAAACTTTTCTTTTAAAAGGATGTTATCTGGATGGTTAGTGAAATCTGAATATGGTCTGTAGATAAGATTAAATAGTAATTCTGTATGGATGTTAATTTTACGATGTTTATAACTATCAGTTATCTAGGAGGATGTCCTTCTTTCTAGGAAACACATGGAAGTTGTTGAGGTATATGAAGCCTGCAGATTGCCCTCAGACAGCTCAGAAGAGCAGGGTTGGGCTGCAGAGGGAAAGATAGAGAAGCACAAACTCAGACACCCTGCCCCTCTCCCACAGAGAAGGCACACACACTTTCCTCCTGCTTGCAGGTCATGTAAAGTGTGTCTGACGTGGGGCTGGATTGCAGCTAGTTCCTGGTCACCTCTGGTCTCAGCCGTCGCAGGCAAGGTGCATTTGTCTGTGTTACAAGCCTGTGTGATCCTTTGGAACCTGAGCATCACCATCTTCCTGTCCTAGCTCTTCTTAGCCTTTTGCATTTCCATTTAAATTTTAGGGCTGACTTGCCAGTTCCCCAGCTGAGTAAAAGATTGGTTTGTGTTTGACTATCCATGCCTTCAGCTGTGTCACTTGTCTTCTAGCTTTTCCGAAGAGCTGGTTGATGAAGCCCTGGGGGCCGTGGCTGCGGAACTTCAGGATGCATGTGAAGACTACGCGGAAGCAGTGTTCACCTCAGAATTCCTAGAGGCTGCTGCATAAAGGCTGTCAACACAGGCCTCTCCTGTCACACTGGAGAAGGGCCCCCCCACTCTGCTGAGCCCACAGGAAACTGTCCTCAGCTGTCTGTCCAGGCCCAGAAGGTGGTGCCCTCGGAATGAAGGAGATGCCAGTGTGATCTGTCTCACTGTGTCTTCTCTCATCATCACAGCAATGCTTCTGGAAGCTTGTGATGGGATGTTTTATTTTATCAGTGCCCAGGAAACATAAATCAGTTATGACAATATACTACTTACAAAATGTACAATTTTCCTATTGAAATATTGTGTTCATTTCTCTGGCTCAGACTGGTGATCAAAATGTTTTGAAAGGTAACAGATAAACATGTTTCACACAGGATTCAAGGTGCTGTCAAACCATAGTGGCAGTGACTCCAACACAAGTGTACTTCCTGTTCATCCGGTCCCAGTGCCTGGCTCCTGATTTCCATCTTTGGCTGTGTCCTGTCAGGACACCTGTCCCTTCTGGATTGGAGATGCACACGGAGCATAGACTTTGGTCCTGCTGCCAAACCTCTGTACTCAGGCGGCTAAAAATAGCAACCCACTGGTGCACGGTGACACACACACCTTTCTTTAAGGTCCAGTCCCTGAATGACTTTTCACATTTTCAGTTCCTCAAAGTCTTATTGCTGTAGGTTGACACATTCTAGTATAAAAAGCTTTCTCTGAATTCAGAGGAAAATAAAGGACATGAAGAGAAGACCAGGCCTTCTCTATTGGCCAGTAGAGGTATGAAGTTCAGTCAGTCTCCCCAGAGACTATCTCCTCACCACAGAGGACCCCCAGGTTGGAGAGGAGGAGACAGAGCTGGGTGGCACGAAGACCTGTGGGACTCCCCAAAGGAAGGAAGACACTTAAGAACCATGGCGGCTCTGATATCTTAGAGGTCATGGTATCAAGGGAGAAGCCTCTGTTTTTAGAAACTCTGAATTTAGAAAAAGAAAAAGAATGTGCACAAAAATAAGGCCCCTGCCTGGAAAAAGTTTCCCTTAATTGTTTGCCTTAGGCTTGGTGAAAGAACTGTGAAGAACGGACTGCACAAGACAGACCCCAGGGAATAATGGAAATCTTGTTCTGACACAGTGTTTTCTTTTGGGATCATTTCTGAAATACGGGTATTTCAGGTGACACTTTAAACTGCTTGGTTGTATGTATTTATGAAAAATTGATTTTCATTTGATGTTAATGTTTTCCTGCTTAGTTTTATAGAACTTCAAGATGTAAAGAGCTTGAAGAGAATTATAGGTCTTTAATCTGGAGAATTAAATATTTGTACTTGAACTGAGAAGAGACCTGTCATTGTTAGTCAAAAGTAATTTGTATGGCAGTTCTTACTGTGCTGGTTTTTTAAAAATAAATTTAATATTTTAAAGTATGTACATATCTAGTTGAAATAATTTACATCTTTTTTCCATAGTCAAAGTAAAATGTGATTTACAGAAACCACTGAGAATACTTGTACATTTGATATGGATATAGTGAATTGTTTGCCATTCCTCTCCTTCAGAAAAAAACAAGTGATAAAAAGCTAACATTTATTGAGCACATATTACAGCATTGCCCTAAGTGCTTTCCCTGTATTAACTTATTTAATCTTCATATCACCTATGGGGGATGATGCCATTATTATCCTCATTTTATAAGTGAGTACAGAGAGGAGAAAGTAATTTGTCAAACAAGCTTGTGTTCTGTGATGCCATGGTCATAGATTCAGTTCTTCTCATAGAGTTTGGAGCTTTCACTTGAGCGCGTTCTCCTGTCACTCCTTGTCCCCCTTAGCGTGTCCCAGACACTGTTCTGGAATGGCTCCTCTGCTAAGCACTTCCTGCTGCAGCCTCTCCGGCACCGGATGCTTGCCCCTATGCCTCATGGGGGTGAGGCTCACACCTGCCCCGGGTCCAGGCTGCTGCTGCAGCAGCCAAAGCATTCTCCAGAGACAAAAAACAAACTACAAAAAATAAAAACCTCTATTTGAAAATGAAGGCTCTTTATAAATTTTCCTGTGTACAGTCTTGCAGCTACCCCAGACCTCTAGAAACTTTGCTTCTTGAACAAGATCTGAGCACATGTGAGTCATTCTCTAATTCTCTTAGTTTTCTTATGACCTACTCATGTCCTATTTTCAGAAAGCCATGCGTGAGTTTAGTATTTTCATGTTGCATGAGCTGTCCCCAGTTTACAGAGAGGCTAGGATGCCTATGTGTGTCTTCAGCACTTCTACCCAGTACGTTTACAGTATGTTTACGTGTTAACATACTTGTTCCAGTCTGTTTAGTGGCTTGAGGGCAAGGATACCGGTACTCAACAAATTCTTCTGAGTGAAAGAAGGGATTGCTTTTGTATAGGAGGTCCATCACATTTCAACAAGATGCACAAACTTCTGCTGACGGCCTGTGAGGCCAATGTACAATTCCGTCTGTGGATGTAGACCTCCCTGTTTCTGCTGCCATGTTTGTCCTGACTCTCCATGCACCTTGGCAGGCCGCTGCTGTGGATGGAGCTTTGGAGTGGGCCGTGGGCTAGAGAAGAGGCAGAGGGGGATGGGGTAACAGGATGACTCCCCACTTTTCATCTCATTATAGGCTCCCTGCTTCCTCTAGGTCTGTGCGTTCTGAGCCTAGGAAGTGTTGGGGCTGGAGAGAGAGTGAAGAGGCAAAGTCCTCTTTCTCCTCCCTCTCTGCCTCATAGTCTCTGGCTCCCTGAGGGGAACATGCACAGGGGATGCAGGTGGAAGGGCCATGACTACTGCACTGTGTGCCTGAGCACAGCCCACGGCCAACAGTAGGGGAAAAGGTTCACTCCAGAAAGGTCTGTCTTTGAGAGCAGGGCCAGTGTCTGAGAGACACATGCTCCTCCGTCTTGACAGCTGGAGACCCTAAATCAGGGTGCCTGCCCCACTCCCTCCAGTGAGTTCCTGGCACTTCAGGCTCAGGCATGTGCAAAGCAGCAGAAAGCAGTGGCCTGGACAGACATCTTCATCAGTACTGACCTGTCCAGTTCTGTGCTACTTTCAGAGCCAAGATCTCGATCCATTTCAGCTCTGGCGTGTATGTTAGTTGTCAGAGCCCAAAAGTGTGGGCCTGGGTTGGAAGGGTTCTAACTGAATCCTGTGTGCTTCCTCTCGGTCTTTGGTGCAGGCCCATGAAGATAGATTGGGACCCAGGTGAACTCTATCACCCATCCCTAGTATTTATTGCTTCTGATTGGAGTGCTCAGCTTGGAGTCAGACTGCAGGGGCCTCTGTGAAGAGGCCTTGGTTTGCACATCACCCTTCTGCCATTTTTCTGTATGACTGTCTCCATGCATCCGACTGGACATTCTCTTGTGGCCTGCACTTGCCTCTGTCCAGCCCTGAGCCTGCCCACCTCAGCATCCCCAGCCAGCTGTGTCCACATGGCTTCCACCATGTCTTGCTGATACCCACGCCACCCCCTCTTCTCTCCTCTGAGTCTTGGCTCTCATGGGATCCGACCTGAGGCTGCTCCCTCCCTTGCCTTTCTGTGGAATTTGGAGAAGGCATTAGCATCCCCTTGCTTTCCTTGTTCCTTCCTGACCTCAGCAGCATTCTCATCACAACATCATCACTGATGCCCTTGGGAAATCCAAGCCCCAGTACATGCTGTCCTCTCTCTTTCTCTCCTTCCTGGTGTCTCTCTGAGTCCTACAGTTTTCACCCCTGCCTCCACACATTCCAACACCTTAAAATCCTTCTCCAACCCAATTAGAAGACCACCCCTAGGAGCTTGTCATGGCTGAAACCCTGCCCACATCCATGTCCATATTTCGGAAAGTCCCTCTCATCGCAGTCGCCACTCCCAGGCCCTTCACTTTCATGGACTCCCCTTCAGAGATCCCTTTGTACTTTCTTTTGCTCCACAACCTCTCCTACCCTTGCCCTTCTTGCCTCTGTCCTACAAGTCATGTATTTCACTCTTGCTCAGCCCGGCTCCCCAAAATCTCCCACCCACACAGCAGTTTTTCTACCTTGTTCTCTGGTGAGGCCAGTTTAAGACTTCCACTCATGGGCTGCAGGTGACTACAACTGCACATTTGTGCCACCTTTCAGCACCCCAAGTCTCTCTCTCCATGATTGGCAGTTTGTGGGCATAGGAGAATTCCAAGGAGCCTTCTGGCTCTGAAATGCTGTGCCCAAGAGAGGTAGGAACATCCAGATTCCTGCCATGTGGGCTTCTGCCATCTACCCTCTACCCCAGAGTTCCCTTTGCCTGAGCTGTGTTTGACCTAGGAAGGCCCAATGGGCATTGAATCATCAGCAGCACAAGGGAGCAGAGAGTCAGGGAACATAGAGATAGAACTGGCCACCAGAACACCTGCAGCCACCATCCACAGGGCCCTAAAGATCTTCTGGGAGAGAGGTCAGCTCCAGCTCAGGCTCAGTAAGAAAGCTGGTGCTGCTTAGTCAGTACCGCCTCAAACACTGCTCTGAGAGAGTTACTCAGAGCCCAAGAGAAGTTACACGAACATATTGGATTTAATAGCACCTCAATCTACCCAGCAGTTTACAATTCAAAAGTGACTTTAAATTACTGCTCTTCTCTTTATAGGTCACCATAACCACCTTTCTTTGTGCACCAGCAGTAATCTGGCTGGTTAAGAACTAGAGCCACAATGCAGCACAATTCACAATAGCCAAGTTAAGGAACCAGCCAAGGTGCCCATCAACACATGAATGAATAAAGAAAATGTGGCATGTATACACTGCATAACATTATTCAGCTGTAAAGAATGAAATCATATCATTTATGGGGAAATGGATGGAGCTGGAGATCATCAGTTAAGCAAAATAAGTTTGACTCAGAAAGGCAAGTATCAAGTTTTTGCTCTTCTGTGGCATCCAGGGAAGAAAAAAATGACATGAAAGAGGAAGAGAGGCAGGGAGGAAGAAGAGAACCAGGAGAGAGGAGAGAAGGGTGGAGGGGGATGATGGAGGGGTGGGCATGATCAAAATATAATATATATTTATATATAAATATGCATGTGTGTACTAGAATTCTTATGTTTTAAATTAGTGCATATTGATTATACAGAGTAATGGGTTTAATTGTGGCCTTTTCATATATATCGTGCCCCCCACTTCTCTCACTGTGCTTTCTCCTGCCCACAGTTCTGTGTCTCTTCTTGCCCTGCCTGGCAAACTGGCAGCACCTTTCCTAGGCTTACCTTTGGCATCCTAAGCTGCACATCTGGCTTGCTCTAGCTGCACTGCCTGGCTACTTCAGAGCCATGGCCTCACTCTTGGGTTTCCAGGGCCACCAGAACTTTTTGAACAGGGCCACATCTTTTATGAATATCTGCAGTGTTATCCCCATTTTACAGATGAAGAAATTGAAGCATCTGGAAATTAAGGGACATACCTGGGGTCATATACACACAGTGACAGAGCCAGAACTCAACCGGCATCTTTCTACTTCCAGCCCTGTATCCTTTTCTTTTTGTTGCAGTGGTGTCTTTCTCCCAACTAGGTTGTTCTTAGATGGCCTAGAAAACCCTAGAAACTGTCAAGTGTAAATGCAATCTCTGTTTTTAAAATCAGCAAATATTTATAATAGTCCTGCTCTGTTTCGGGTGCAGTACTTAATTCTGAGCTTCGAAGATGATTTTGTTGTACTTCCTCCCTTCCTCACAGCCCAGTGCAGTGATCAGGTCAGAGCTAAGCTCCTGCGTTAGCTTCTAGTCACTCTTTTAATCCTCCCTCTTCCTGGAGCTGGACCATGCTTGAAACCCTGACTGTGAGTAATGAGAATCACCCCACAGTCTGGATGCTGGGTGCTATGTACTTTATTTATAATGTCTGCATTAATTCTCACACTAATACTAGAATAGACATTATTAGCCCATTTTTTCAGATGAAACTGAAGCCAAATGAGGTGGAGACTTTCCAACTAGAAAGTGGTTGTAGCCAAATTTGACTACAAATGCTATACTTTTCTCAGTGTACTGGAGTCCCACACCCTCCCACAGGCTGGTCACCTTCTGCCAGCACCTCCTTCCAGGGGCTGGGCTATGAAGGAGCAAGTTACCCTGCAGCCACATGTGTCCCTGGCTCCCTGTGTCAGGTGGCATGTGTTGAACTGGACGTATTGGTGCCTGCTCTGGGCTGGCTGAGTACTGTTCTGCAGGTGGTATCCTGCCCTTGTGGAGGACATCTCAGTGGCAACACCAGTGTCTCCAGATTTCTAGTCTAGTTTGATTTTCTGCCTCCCAAAGGCATGGTTCTCAGGCAGCCTGTCGCAACACCCCATGGTAGACAAATGGGGACCAACAGCCTCAGCCTGACTTTGCTCCTGAGAATATCAGCAAACATCCCTGA